ACGAGTATTCCTTGAGAGATGGTCTAATTTCATCTTAAAGGGTCTACTGTCTATTGTATTTTTTTTCCTCTGGTGATTTCCTGCTTTTCTGTTCTGAAACCAAATCCAAATGCCATCTTTCCCCCTTCCAGACGGCCGGGCTGAAAATCTGGCAGGCAGCTTCACTACATCGTGCGATGCCGCTGGTCTTGGAAAAGCGGAAATGGCGCTGGATTCGATGCATTTGAGGGGGTTGGTACTTGATACTGGTGAATGGTACCCGGCCTGGCAAACAAACATAGCTATTGAAAATAGCCATTGAAATAGTTGATTTACCCATTGAAAATGGTGATTTTCCATAGTTATGTTAGTTTACCAGAGGGTAATGATTAGTAGTGGTTAGTAATGGTCTGGAATGGTAGGAATGGCTTTAAGCATTCTGCCTCCAATGAAGCGTTTGACCGTGAGAACCCACCATTGAAGAGGAAAGTAGTCCACAAAAACTCCCTATTTGGCAGGGTCCTTGGTTAGTCTGGGGGATGGGGATGGCAATCAGATTGATCATCTGATACCAGTATTTGTCGGAAGGGTATTCCACATGGGGAATGTTCGAGTGAGATGTACTGCTACCTTCAATGATGACGCGCTGCTTCAGGAATGGATGGACCTCGTTTTCCTGATTAAAATAGACAGTGTCAGTGCCATGCCCAATTTAGCATAGACCCTAGCAACTAGGGGGGTGGAAGACATCATCATCATCATCATCATCATCATCATCCCCAATGGACATCACATCACCATTTTTCGAGCCATGTTTCTTTCGCTGAGAACAGCGCTCTTGCCCGGGCTCAAGATGCCAAGTAGCTGGGTCCGGCGCTAGATCCGAAATCTCGCAATGTTGCGGCTGGATGCAGCTTTGCCAAGTGGAAAGAGAGCAAGTTTTGAAATCTCCGAGTCTTCCAAAGTAGAGGATTTGCAACTTCTTGTCCAGAAAGCTTTGGGGCATGGCTTCCTAAGGCTTGTCACTGCACAGGGGCACGTCCTTAGCGATCCATTGATGTCTTTGCAAGCTGCTGGGCTGCAGGATGGAGACGATCTAACAGCAATCGTACGGCGAGCAAGGCTAGCTGCAACGGCAAAATCCTTTGCTTTCTGGTGTGACGGAGGTGACAAGATCGTCACTTGGGGCGATGCAAACTATGGCAGCCGCAGCTCTGCTGTCCAACATCAGTTCAGGCACGTGCAGCAGATCCAAGCCACAACATGGGCTTTCGCTGCGATCCTGGCAGATGGATCTGTCGTTACATGGGGTGATCCAGACCGTGGTGGGGACAGCTCTGCTGTCCAAAAACAGCTCAAGGGCGTGAAGCAGCTTCAGGCCACAGAACGCGCATTCGCTGCTATCCTAGCAGATGGATCCGTGGTGACATGGGGAAATCCAGCCTTTGGGGGTAACAACCGATATCTCCAAGGTCAACTCAGGAATGTGCAACAGCTTCAGGCGACAAAGCGCGCATTCGCTGCCATGCTGGCAGATGGGGCTGTTGTGACGTGGGGCGACCAATCATGTGGCGGTGACAGCTTTCTCATCCATCATAAGCTGACAAAGGTACAAGAGGTGCAGGCGACAGACTGGGCGTTTGCTGCGATCCTCGCAGATGGATCTGTCGTGACATGGGGCGATCCAGACCGTGGTGGCGACAGCTCTGCTGTCCAAGATCAGCTCAGGAACGTGCAGCAGATCCAAGCCACAACATGGGCTTTTGCTGCGATCCTGGCAGATGGATCTGTAGTTACATGGGGTGATCCAGACCGTGGTGGGGACAGCTCTGCTGTCCAAGAACAGCTCAAGGGCGTGAAGCAGCTTCAGGCCACAGAACGCGCATTCGCTGCTATCCTAGCAGATGGATCCGTGCTGACATGGGGAAATCCAGCCTTTGGGGGTAACAACCGCGCTATCCAAGATCAACTCAGGAACGTGCAGCAGCTTCAGGCGACAAAGCGCGCATTCGCTGCCATGCTGGCAGATGGGGCTGTTGTGACGTGGGGCGATCCAGGCCGTGGTGGCAACAGTTCTGCTGTCCAAGATCAGCTCAAGAGCGCGCGGCAAGTTCAGGCCGCAGCATGGGCATTTGCTGCTATCCTTGCAGATGGATCCGTAGTGACATGGGGCGATCCATTCAGTGGTGGCGACAGTTCTGCTGTCCAAGATCAGCTCAGGAACGTGCAGCAGATCCAAGCCGCAGCATGGGCATTTGCTGCTATCCTTGCAGATGGATCTGTCGTGACATGGGGTGATCCGTCTTGTGGTGGTGACAGCTCTGCAGTGCAATGTCAGGTCGCGCATGTGTAGCAAAGTGTTCACAATGCTCGCGGGGAAAGCAGGCATTTGCCAATGGGTTTTCACTTACCATTTTGGACGGAAAACGCGTTTCGAATGCGGGATTTGGAAGACTGACCACAAAGTCTCATTGTCTGCCGTGTGCAAAGATGTTAGTACCAGCAGAGTTCACAGCTAAGTCAGTCTATCTGTTTTACCAGACAGCATTAGGGTGATTGTTACTTGAAACTGGTTGGTGGTACTAATCCCTTCCTCCTAATACTAAACGCACCCCCCTATTACTAAACACGGCAGGTAGTTTCTAAAACTCTTAATGATAAAAACTATTTTTTCCGATTTCAAAATCAATTACATTTCTTTATATAACGCAATTAAAATATTGCCAAAAATTGGATTTCGAAGCTTCCCATTAAATTAAAACCCTTAATAATAAAAACTATTTTTTCCGATTTCCAAATCAATTAAATTTCTTTATATAATGCAATTAAAATATTGCCAAAAATTGGATTTCGAAGCTTCCCCCCTAATAATAAACACCCCGGGGTTGGGGTTGACTAGTCTTTAGTATTAGGGGGGGAACCCAGAAATGGTAGGTTGATTTTTAAATTGTTTTCTAAATGGGGATCAATTAGGAGTTCGGCCAATCTGATATTTTCAAAAATTGGAGATGGACACATAGTTTTTAGTATTTGGGCGGGGTTTAGTATTAGGAGGAAGGGATTACCCATTATATAAAATCCATTGAAACCAGTTAAAGTTAAAGTCCATCGAGCCCCATTAATTAAAGCCAATTAAAAACCATATTGAAACCCACTAGCCCGTTAGAATCCATTGAAACCCATTAAAACCCATCAAATCCATTCAAATCCGGCAAAACAAATCGAAATCCATTTAAACCAATCGAGGATCGAAATCCATTAAAACTTAAACCAATTGAAACATTTGTTGAAACCCATTAAAGTCATGTGAAACCCATCAAAACCCATTAAGATCCAGTAGAACTAATCGAAATCCATTAAAACCCATTGAAACCCATGAAAACCCTTTGGAATCAGAATCCATTCAAACCCATTAAAACCCATCAAAATCCATTAAAGTCCATCAAAATCCATCAAAACCCATCGAAACCCATCAAAATCCATCGAAACCCATCAAAACCCATTGAAACGCCTATTGAAACCCATTATAGAGTAAAAGTCCATTGAAACCCATGTTCTGTTGCTGGATATTCCAGTTCTTTCAGGACCAGCCCTTTTGAATGCTTCTGCGGTATCCTTAGGTGAGAACGATCCAAGTTACGGCGTGCCCACCATCGGCGGCTACGAGGATGAGCCGCTGGATTTCGGTTCTGAATTGTTTTCTTGAATGGTCAACAATAGATTCAATAGGGATTTAATGAAATGATTTTAATGAGCAGTGGCTGCTAGAGCCCTGTTGGTTGATGATGAGTGATTAGTGATTAGTTCGGGAAGTATACTAAGCATTACTAAGCAATATTAACCAATACATTGGGGATCATTGGGGATTATCACAATCCATGAGGGAATCAGCAAAACCAACCATCGAGATGGAACGACACAGGGAAGCACTGCTCACTTGGATGGCTTAAGCCACTCAGACCTACCAGGGTAGTTCGTATTTGGGGTATCCTCCAAGTACCAAAAACATGGGGCTTGGAGACATGGATAACGAGGGGTTTTGGAGACATGGGGATGAATCATTTGAATGGTGCCTGGGGTGCCTCATTGATATTGAAATAATTGGAAAGTGTGAAATCAGCATATCAGTGATATGTGATGTTTGAATATTTCCTCGGGATACATTAATATAGTTAACTATATATATATACACACCATATTCTCATATAAAGGTTGGATCCACATTGCCATCAACCATCGCCAAGTATCAGCGGTTTGGGTTCTGTGTTCCTAACCATAACAAGTATAGAGGTATATCACATAACACAGTCTTCAATCACAGAAAGGATGGTGTTCGATAGCAGAGTTTTCACTGAGTTCTGTTGGTTTCATGGACCTTTTCCCACGATGTCTTTCAAGTCACAGGTAGAAACAAAAAGCGGCTGGATGTTGGGGTGTGCAAGTGCCGGGGGGGAAAGGGGGCACTTGGATGTTTTTGTCAGAATTCTAATGGTCACTCGCCAAAATAACCATTCAAGCATCCCTCAATGAAGCATCTTCAATTCCATCATTTTTTCCAATCATTTCCAATCCCATCTGCCAAGAACAAGCCCTCAAAACACTGGTGGTGTGGTGGATTTCTTCCTTTGGACGTCCCACAGAAGGGTTTCTGAAAGGGTCTTTGGAACGTCCTCATCCATAACAATATTGCCATTCAAAATCATGAAGAATATACGTGGACCATGATGATACGCTGGATTCATAATCATTGTTGGATATCTTCAATTCAACTTAAACCTTATGTTGGATTGTTTGGGTATGTTTGGATTTATAGATCATATCATAGTGATAGTGCATCTCATTACCTTTTCGACTTTGGATAATTTCGAGGGGATCCCCGATCTTTTAGTCCTAAGATGAGATGATGCGATAATTTGCAGGAAACCCTTGAAGATGGCGGTATAATCCATGGTTTCCTATGGTTTCCTGTCGTGTTTCTCCCTTAAATCCAGTCATTTTGATTTAGAGAAACCCCACAAGTCATGTCGCAGTTTCAGGAGAAGCTGCTGGAAGCCTTTGGCAAACTCTTGTCCTCCGGTGCGAGATCACCTCGCAGGTGCTTGCGTAGAACCATCCAATCAGTTGAATCCCATCATATTCATATTAATATGGAGGTTTCCATAAATGGAGGTACCCCAATAGCTGGATGGTTGATTTCATGGATTATCCTATTAAAATGGATGATCTAGGGCTACCCCCATTTCAGGAATCTACCATATGTCATGCTTTCCGTCAAAGAAAAGTAACCAATGGTATGGACCTGGGTGTCAAAGCGTACCCAGAGATGACAAGCCCTTAGTATCTTTAATTGTTTGCCCTGCATGACCTGAACTGGTAAACCAATGGCTGCACGGACGGCCAGTGGTCATGGGGCTACATATATGCCTGCCATTGCCGAGCCAAGGATTCGACTGGTTCATATACTGGTCCCGATTTGAGTGGTTCATTCGGGCATGTGTTTTTCTCGGCTTGGAAACTCACCATTTACTGACCCAAACTGCCCTTTTTGCACCAGCTGCCCGAAAGGTATAAGGGCACTGTGAATGTGGACTGTGCTTGTGGTGTAGGCAGGGCACTGCAAGTTGGGCATCAGATTTGGCCGGCAAAGAGATGCAAATGCAGTAGTTTTTCTAGGATTTGAGACATGTTTAAGGGCCAATTGGCAGGAAACACCAAATCTTGCAGCTTTCTGTAACTGTTCCCACCAACTGCGGGAAAGATGGGCGGATTTTGTTGGAACTGCATCCTCGCAGGTTGTCTTTGGGCATATTTTTGACGAAGGGCATGTGCCAAAAGTTGTTTCGGTTCCCAAAAAAGCAACCAAAATGGTTCGTTTTGTTTGTCATCGTGTTCTGCAATTTAGCACATCCAAGAGAATCCACGTCGTCCGGCTAACATGGGACATCCCACAGCATCTTGCCCAGTGGCAGGTTCCATTGCGCTCTCCAACATGGAGGAACGCTTAAGTGCAGGCGTCAGTCGTGTCCAGAGCGGAAATCAGAAAAAGGGACGGCAGACAACTTGGATCGTTTAAGAAAAAAGATCTGTTCCTACAAATGAACATACGTATTACATATTACATTATTACATATAATCGATGTATATACATATTATAATAGATACATATATTATGGATAAATAAGGGGAATCATCCCCAAATGACCTTATTTCAGGTTGGTGAATTATTATTTGTTGAAGGTATTGAATTTTTACATAGACAACGATAGTCGGATAGCAGGATCACAGTATCCATGCTGCATGAGTTCCCAGACTGTGCCACCTCTGTCATTCTGAAGCGCGACAAAAACCACATGATGCCCACATGATGCCCACATGATATCATTTTATATTCACTAATGATATCTTATGAGACTTCATCATGACAATCAGCATTCATGAGAGTTGGTCGCATGAATTATCGGAACATTGGATCTGGCTAGATGATCCCAAGTTGACGAGTGATTCAGTTGGTATCCCCATGGTTGACCATACCCCATCTGGGACTTGTCACTTCAACTAACAGCTCGACCCATTCAGAGTTTGAGACGTTTGAGACCTCGACCTGCGCATACCTGCGCAGTCGGGCTGGTGGTGAATTTGGTGAATCGTGTGGGCGAAGGAGTGCTCAATGAAGGCAGGATTTGGATGGATTTGGATGGATTTGGCGGTTTCACTATGTTTCACTGGTCCATCTTTGGGGAGTGAACTGAGTGAACGCTTGAATGCAAGCAAGACATGCATGTAGAAAACTGATTTATCTATATTTATCTAGCAACCAGCAGGGTCTAAGCAAATTTGAAGCTTCAGCAGAAATGCGATGCGGAACGACGATAGCCTCTTTTTTTTTCTAGCGATCTAGCGATACAATGCAGTTGGCAAGAATGGTGGTTTGATCATATATGTTATAGATTGTCATGGTTTAATCTATAACAAACTCTATTTGATGAATCAAACTATATAGTTACTGTATATTTAATGAACCATATATGTTTAATCGATATTTGATGAATCAAACTGGAAATTAACCAAGCACAGTCCGAGATCTGTGAAAAACCAGTTGGTTGGATGATCAGACCAGTTTCGGCGCATGGCGTGCAGGCCCTGCAGGGGATAGGTATTCCAAGTGAGACCTTGCCTTGTGGCAACCATGATGCCGCTAGAAACAGTATCTCTATATATATTTGTTTATATAGTGTATGTATGGAATTGTGCATGAAATTCCGTAGGATAGATATGGCCTGGATAATCTGGATATGCCTTCATCACGCTGTGAGACCACGGATCTGAATTTGATACTGAGACCCATACGCGCCATACTCATACTCACACGAATATATGAACCATATAAAATAGTATAAATATATTAAATTATCAATAAAGACATTAAACTATACATAAATATATATATATATGTATAGTTTACATTTGTTTCAATAGCAACCCCCATACAAAAGATAGAGTCATTTAAGTCCCTGGGATGTTCACCAGGTTGCGGTGCCGACTTTGTGAAGACCAAGCAAAGGGCACCGGCCAAGGTGGGATTCCAAACGTCCATCCAGGGCTTGGTGTTTTGAACATGGCTTGGAACCTTGGTTATTAGTGGTTAGTAGGCTATAAACCAACAATGGGAATATGACGGAGATATCTGGTTGCGAAATGTGACTGGAACCATGGATTTTTGAATGACTTTCCATTCATATTGGGAATGGAAAATCATCCCAACTGACTCATATATTTTGCTTTACAACAATATTTTATGATAGTAAAAATCCATAAAAATCCCAAAGATAGTTGGATAAATCGATTTTTTAACAATCCCCCAATTTCACATCGCCATGTTTGGATACCCTCCGGTAAACGTTTACATAGCGAACTGGAAAATCACCATTTTTCATGGGTAAATCCACTATTTCTATGGCCATTTTCCATGTCGCTTTTTGTATGTTTACCAGGCCGGGTGCCCATCCATCAATATCCCAGTATTATCCCATCATTATCCCAGCAAATCATCCCTATAAAACCATATTAAACCAGATGGTAAATCCCCCCCTGGCCCAAGGGCCAGAGGGTAAGTCCCATGATTTCAGAAATTGGCCTCGCCACGAGGCCGATGTGATGGGACGCTGGGCCAGCTTTGATGGTGATGCCGATCGGGTCGCGGACCCAGTGGTATCAACAGTTCTGGGAAAACTTCGATGTTTTGTGGCTGTTCATGTATATTATATATACATAATATACATAATATACATGAGATACATAATAAACATAATATATACAATATTGCTGATATACATAATATACATAGTATACATAATATGCATAACATACATAATATACATATGTTTTGATTTGAAGCTAAACATCACAAAGTGATCATTATATGAGTGATGAACATACATTTGCAGAGTGATTATGACATGTAACCTGCGTATGTACGTATTGTGATTGTGTGTGTGCGCTAAAACAAAACATCTTAACATATCTTATTAACTTAAAACTATATAATTGTAAGCATAGATGTCCTTTTCCCATTGGTTGGTTGACTGACTAATAGAGGGGTTTGTTTACCCCTTTAACAACGGGTAAATGATGATAAATGGTATACCAAACCGGCCCCTCTATTTTTACCAAAAGCACATTATTGATTGTAAGGGCATGTGTCAACATATCAACATATAGTAATTATATGTAATTAGTACTGTACATTTAAGCGCCACCATATGTGTTATGTGTTTGCAAGACCGCCCAGGGCTTTTTTGCGCACCCACGCAAGGTGGTGGCGCAGAGTTCGCCAACCTGGTTTATACTGTAGCTATTATGATAACTTGGGTTTAAGGTAGATATTGATATATGTATATAGTCTATTATATAGTTATATAATGGGATTTATAAACCAACTTAAAATTGAGAGGTAACTGGTAACTGAGTTTAAGTGGACTTGGCACAGATTACCAAGTTTCGCCAGAGGCCTATTGTAGGAATTGCCCATGCTCAGACACATCACCTGGATGTGCCCTCGCTGAGATCGTGTATTTCTTCTCGAAGGCGTGCCACGAGTGGTTTCTGGTAACTGGAAATGAGGATGGGAAAAAAAAAAAAACGTTGGGTTTCTTCCGTGTTTCTGGTAGACCTTAGGGTGGTATATTTTGACATTGACCCCACAAGGGTTTTTTGTGTGTTTTTAGTTATAACTACACCTGCTGAAAGTTGACCTTGTGATGGGTATTGGGTGAAAATCTTTAGGGAGGCATCGCCACAAAAAGGCTCCGGACAAGATGAGTCTGGATGGTCATTGGGTCCCCATCGACGATGGGATCTCATCAGGGGGCGGATGATCATGTCACATGCCCCAAAGTTTAGCCAAGCGCTGTGCAACATGACCAGCTGGCTTTGTCTGAACATAGAGTACCCCAAATCATCCAAAGTTTAAATTCTCATTTTCACCATTGAGGTTGCCACTCACTTGGGTATTCCCTACAGACAAACCTAATATATCTAATATGATAGTTAACCCGGCAGTGGATAGAACACATGTGCACTCGGAATTCTCCACTGCTCTGGATATTCCAGATTCTTTACATTTATTTATCCTTTTTCCTGGCATATGACTTGCATTCCAGCTATTTCCAGCTGCCAAAACAAAGGGGACCGAGCTGGCTAGGGACAGGATGGTTTCTGCCTGTTGGACGGAGACCGAATCGCCCTCTTGTTGTCCTCGTTGCTCAGCTGGAAGGGATCCACTCTCACGGAGAACGCCATCTTCCAAGCCCCATGTTAAGGCTTCTAGAGGTAAATGCTGATGAATGAAAGGTTGATGGTTGTTTTGCTATTTTGAGGGAGGAATAGCAACTGAATGTCGTGTTGGAAATTATTTCAGTAGCATCTCAATAAGATTTGGTATGCCGCCATGGTCCATGGATTACATAACATGTTTGAAGGCCCACAAAGAAGCAAAAAATGCATATTGTTTTACTCTGATTCCGGTGCCCTGATTCCATGTCATTCCATGTCACCAAGGTTCGTGAAATCCTTGTTGACAGCTGCAGGGGCTGAGGAGCCTGGTTTTCTGGTGTTTCTGGTGCTTCAGATACGTTTTTGATTGAAAAAACATCTGGAAGATCATTTCCAAGTTCTGATAGACTTGGATGACTTGGCTTTGAATGTTAATGACGTTTATTCATCAAAGATCGCTTTGGCAGAACAGAAGACAGCTGGTGCCTGACTGTTAATATGAGGCAGCAAACACATGTGTTTTTTTCCTTGAACAGCAACACATGTTTTTATTTGGGTAATTGCAACCAACAATGGGAAATCCGCGCAGATGCAGTAGATGTTGGCCGTGCAGTTGAAACTCTGTCACTTGTTACTTGTTGGTCACATTGAAATCAGTTGCATCCCTAAACCCATGCAGCAGTGACACCCCAGGTCTTCTTTCTCACAGTTGGAACAAGGTTCAATAGCCCTGCTGGTTGATGATGAGTTTGGAGACTACACTACCCAAATCTACCCAATATAATTCAATATAATGGGGATTAGAATAATCCATAATCCAAGAACAGGGAATCCCTATCATAAACTATCAACCAACCAGTTTTTGGTACACTTGCAGACCCCCAAGCTGTCCCAGGAGATCAAGGTGGGTCTGGTGCAGACAGCCGCAGCCCCAGCCGTGTAGTCAGTGTAGTCGTCCGTTGGGAGTTGGACCGTAGAAATTATCCTCGAAGAACTGATGAAAATTCCCATTCATCAGAAAAACTATCGTTATATATATATGATATATGTATATGTATATGTATATGCATAAGTATATGTATATGCATAAGTATATGTATCTGTATCTGTATCTGTATATGTATATGTATATGTATATATGATCATCATATTGACATTCATACTTTTTGTATCATAGTTTATCAAACATGATATCATGAAAACGTGTGACATCATTGTGCTTATATAAACCACCCGCCCCCAGTCAGCTTGCTAGCGCTGGTGAGCTGGGTCCGCTTTCAGGGGAGATCTTTGGTCATTGTTGAGTAAACCCTCTAACACATGGTGGTTGTGTGGCCATCGTTATCGATTGAAATCCTCATTTTGCTGCTATAATTTCTCCAATTGTGCTGCTGCTATAATTTCCCAATGTTGGTTAAATCATGTGAAATCTCCATGTTTGATGAGCCGTTGGTCTGTTGCATCCCACAGGTCGGTCAAGGTCCAAAGTTCCCCATCGCCAACGCGCAGTTAAAAAAAAACCAGGCTTATGCCAATGGCGCCTCAACCGAGCGCGCCAAGGAAGATCTAGGCCAGGCTGATAGAAATGGCTCAATTGCTGCGTTCAACCCCTCTGGTTGATGATCATTATAATCATTATAGTTTTCAAATACTCATTTAATAAGGTCTTGAACCATCCAAATGAGGTGATATAAGTGGATACAACTGATAAATGATGGTTGGTTGATGATTCGTTTGTGCGTTATCAACCTACCCTTGATATTATATCTCGGATTAATTTTCATAATCTATAAACTGGGAAATCCGTTCTTAGCCACCGGTGGTTTTGACACTGCTCAAATGAGGTTTGGTCCACAATGGAATGGTCTTGTGGGGGCTGGCAAGTTTCAAAGCCCATGGGATCATGTTCCAGCGCATTGGATCGCATGGGAAGTCAGGACCCTTAGAGAAAGTGCGTTAAGTGCTGCTGATAGCTGCTTCTCCATGGTTTTCCGAAAGGCAGTTCTGCAGGAATTGTTTAATCTCAAGGAGTACTCTCTTGACATTTTCTCCAAGCAACATCGTCTGGTAGTACTCAAACCATTTCTTGAATCACATGTGGAACAAGCTGCAAGGCAAGTTCCACTTGGATTCGTTTCAAAATAACGCTACCCCACAATCCACTGATCAATCATTGATTTCCCCCCATTCAAAGCAACGAAAACTGGTGCATCCCCGATTTTCAATCTCACCTGGTTTGTTTCGGAGATTCTCTTCAGCTATGCTCCGGAGTCATCAAACGTGGCTTGTGGGACAATTCCCTATCTATAGATGATTTTCCCCAAAAAAATCCAGCTATAAGGCTATAAACCTCCATTTACAGAGGATTTTCCCAGCTCTAAACCTCCATTTACAGAGGATGATTTCCCAGCCAGCTCTCAAAACACCCGGTTCGGACACCCTGAGGACACCCAGCCTGGGTCCGTTCAGGCGATGCGCTGGCATGTGCCAAGACGGGTGTGAAGGTGCGCCTGAATGAACGGCGGAAGGAGGTCGTCGTTACATCACCAGTAAACATGGTAGATTAATGTATACATTAATAATACACAGAGCAAATACTAGATATATTGTATAGCCATAGATAGCCATAGATAATATATTATGTAATAGACCTAATAATCATTGACTTCAATGGTTTCTTAGCCATAGATACCAAAATAATAGATTAATATACTGTAGATTTTATATATATATATATATATTATATAATATGTCAATAGATTATAGTCATATTATGATTTCTTGCTGGTGAAGTATCTCAAATGACGGGTAACTGGCAAGTATGCCATGACAAAATCTATGTCAAATGACCAAGCAACTTTTGGGGCTGGAAATCTTGGAAAGCCAAGTGCGTTCGACCTTGGGAAACACAACTTTTTGGTGTTTCAGATTAAGAAAGGGTCCCAGAAAACCACAGATTTTTTTTTGATCAAAATTGGATTCAAAAGGTTCAGGATCGGACCAAAGTTCGCAGATGTTGATCGAGGCCCATATGGCTTTAAATGGGACGCATCAAAGATTGCCAGGTACATGGTGATGCTTAACGACTTAACAGTTTTTGAATGGAGGAAGCCCTATAATTGGATATGACTGGCAGATTTTTCATGTATCCAGAATCGTGTTGTGCAACGTTGTATATTCGCTGGCCATAACAAGAGCTTCATATCTGGCTGGGTATATACTTGGGAGCACGCAACTTCGTTTGCAGAGTGCTTGGCATTGATGCTCGCGGGATTTCGCTATTCCTGGAGGCTTAAAATGGCAATGCAGCTACACTCTGGTAATCATGGCCAATGGCACTGAAAAATCCACGATTCATAGTTGATTTTCCCATTCAAACCCAAATTTTCTAGGAACTTTCCAGTTGCCATGTTTGATTCCCAGAGGGCCGGAGGGTATTTTATACTGGGGCCTACAGTTCCATCCCGGTTGAGGATGATAAACCCGACTTTCGCGGGTCTTGCCGCTCCAAGTTTGGCTTCAAGCAGCTTTTCGGATACAGAGATCATGAGATCATCAATCCATCATTCAGCGAAAGATGGAAGAACAGATAAGAAAAACCATGAGATTTGGAAAGATCTTTCAAACTTTCAGGATCTTTCACGAGTCTTCGAAGATCTCCCCCCAGATTTTGCCGTAAAAAATCATGGGGCAAGGCGGCGGGAGATTTCGGATGGGTGGCCGGAGACTTTTCCTATTTTATCATTTGGACATCCGTGGGGTGAACTATATGAGCTAATATGAGATCGATTTGAAACTCAGGAAATGATCAGGAAAAAGTCGATCAACGGTGGAAATTCCATCTCCATGTCAAGCTACCAGTCCAGAGGGTATTTTATGAAAGACACTTTATTTTTATATAGTTGTTTTTTTATGAAAGAAAGTGAGCAGGTTGTGATTTTCTGGGATACGGGGGGCCCCAATGAGTGGGGCCCCAGTGACAGTGCAACGTTGTACCGGACCATCCTTGAAGATCCCCAGTCCGACTGGGTGATAGTCACCAATCGATGAAAATAGCGAGTTTTCAATACCCGTTAAAATAGGATTGCAATTATGTGTTATGATCATAAACCATATGCAATGTTTTGACCCTAGCACTAGCGCATACATATGTATATATAATTATATATAATGTAAAATCATATTACCCCCTGAAAAATGAAATCTCAAAAAAAGGAACCCTAAAATCTTTACGGGCTCTGTGGACGTTGATTGAAACCACTTTGATTTTTTGGTTTCCTCTTAATTAGTCTTCAGGAGTGTACCTTTTCTCAGAGAGTGTCATATCGATTGCTGTTGAAAGAACTGCATTTGCAGCACCGGGGTTTATTGACACCCTGCATAAACATGGCAATGGAAGTTGTTCCGCCTTCCATGAGAATTCTGTATGTGCCATAGTCAAAACGTGGGTAAATTGCCAAGTTCTTTTGGAAAGGTCATGAATCCTCATTTTCATAGGGATTTATAATGATTTATAGACCAATTCTTAATCAGGATCCCCATCATAGGATGACTATGTTTTGACCATGGCACAGATACATGTGGGATTTCCATTGCTATATAAAGTTTAGAAGAGCTTACAGTAAATGGGCTGTGCCTTAGAAAAACATGCGCAGTTGATTGAGGATATTGGAGCTGGTCGGCAACCATTGAATCTTCCTCAGGACTAATGGTCTTTGGTCCTAAAAAATGATGAAAGTTGGCCACAGAAATTACATATGGCCAGCAATGTATCATGATATCATATTATTAGCATATGTGTGCCATGGTCAGGATTGATCGATTGTAGATCCATATTGAAGGATGGTTCTTGAATCCATCCATCATAAATACCCTCTGGTAAACATACAAAAAACTATTGAGAATAACCACTTCTAAGTTCGGTAAATCAACTATAACCTGGGCCATTTTCATCCATTTTCCATAGCAAACTGTTTGGATTCCCGATGGCGGATCGACCGATCGACCGGCTCCATGGCAGTTGTGAACTCCTGCGATGTTGAGAGGCGCGGCCCGTGGAAAGGGGACCAGGGAAAGCTGAACCCATTGAGCCCATTTAGCCGGGAAAAGTTGAGCAAAACCTAAGTAAACTTACGTAAAAGTTGAATAACCATAATAACATATAATAACAAGATAATAATGTAATATATCCATAATAAGAAATATAATGTAGTTGAATAACCATAATAACCATTGTAAACTTAAGATAATAACCATTATAATGTAATATAATGTATAATTATCTTAAGTTTTCGTTTTCGTCACAAAAAATCTTCCAAGAACAACTTGCTATCAACTATATTGGCAAAGTGTAAAACTGGCGGAAACTCTGAATCAGACAGCATTTTTCCTGCTTCCAGGGGCGGTTTGAAATAGGTTATAGATGTTCAATCGTCATTGCCCTCTGGTAATCAAATGTGGCAATGGAGAGTCCCTCAGTTATAGATGATTTTTCCATTAAAACATCTATTTATAGGGGATTTTTTTCAGCCAGCCATGCTTGATTGCCAAATGGTATATAGTTACCAATAGTACCTCACAAGGCGGTGGCGGAAGTTTCAAAAATAGGAAACCTAAAGGAGAGGTTGGTTGTTGTGAATCACGGATGGCAGAGCGAATCCACTGACGGACTGAAAGGTGGTTGGAGTTGTGTTTTTGGGAGTGGTTACAATGCTTGCAGTGGTCACCTGGTTCGTCACCTCACCCACAACTGCTGGATGTAGTGTGGTGTAGTGCAGCTGTAGTTGTAGTTGTACTGTAGTGGAGTTGTAGTTGTGGTTGTAGTGTAAGTAGTGTAGTGTAGCTGCAGTTGCATTTGTGGTGGTGTAATGAGTGTAATGTAATGTAATGTAATGTAGGGTAGTGTAGTGTAGTGTACTCGTAGTGTAAAGTAGCGTAGTTGTACTGTAGTTGTACTGTAGTGGAGTTTTAGTTGTGGTTGTAGTGTAAGTAGTGTAGTGTAGTTGGAGTTGCATTTGTGGTAGTGTAATGAGTGTAATGTAATGTAATGTAGGGTAGTGTAGTGTAGTCTAGTAGTTAGTGTAGTGCAGTGTAGTGTGGTGTGGTGTGGTGAAGTGTAGTGTGATTAGTCTAGTGTACTGTAGGGTAGGGTAGTGTAGTGTAGTGTTATGTCGTGTAGTTGTAATTGTAGTTGTAGTTGTAGTTGCAGTGTAATGTAGCGGAGTGGAGTGGAGTGGAGTGGAGTGTAGGTGGTTGTAGTTGAAACTGCTGCAAAACCCTAACGTTTCGCTCACTGTTGACAAGGTGCACAATCTCTTGCGCCTGCCACACGAAACGACATCTGAACGTCCAAAAGTGGTCCGAACATGTGGTGCTTTTAACATTTTGACTTGGAAATGTGCTTCCAGCCACAACGGCGTGCACTTTTTCAACATCTCAACTTCCAAAAGTGGTCTGAGAATGGTGTGCTTTATACATTTTGACTTGGAAATGTGCTTCCCGCCAACTTTTTCGACATCTCAACTTCCAAAAGTGGTCCTAGAATGGTGTGCCTTGTACATTTTGACTTGGAAATGTGCTTCGCGCCACAACGGCGTGCACTTTTTCGACATCTCAACTTCCAAAAGTAAAGTGCTCCGAACCTGGTTTGTTTTGCACATTTTGACTTCATATGTGCTGCGCGCCACAACGGGGTTCAATTTTTCATCTCTTATCTGGCCAGATGGCTCCGCACCCGCCGCTTTAGCGAGCCTATTTTTCGACCCCCCGGAGCCATAAATCATTGGAAAAACACAGTGTTTCGCGGCTTTGCTACCTTTTCGCGCGCCTGCACCTTCTGTCTTCTGACTTTTTCTCTTCTCTGATCTTCTCTCTTCTTCTCTTCTCTTCTCTTCTCTGACTCTTCCCACATCTGCTTTTCCATCTGTCCATATTGTCGGAAGTTTGACTTCCAAACTTCTTTCGATAATGAGCCCCACACACGCAGGCTGTTTTTCCTTGAGTAGGTTGAAAGCCCCCCAAGCAGTTTCTCATTTCGGTGGATAGTTGGTTGGTGGATGAAAAGTGTCCTCCATGTTTTTCTATGCGGCATTTCTGTTGCTTCAAGAGCCATGTTTGATGGTTCCATCATGTTCCATCCCATTTTTGTCATGGTGAGATCTCCATCTCTCCTTGGCAGGGCTTCTCCTTGCACACAGATGGAAAAGAGTATGACCTCCGGTTGCGTTGGAATGTGGCTTGGCCGATTCGTTGATCTGTGAAGAACATCCAGGGGGAAATCACAGGGAGTCACCGCTTTCCCCACGCGTTGTGAGCGCTGTGAAAGGGTAGGAAGTTTCAAAAGGCACAGAAGATGGTCCATACAGATTCGCGTCAGGGAACGATGGGAAAAGAACGCAACTCTCAAAGAAGTGGATGACACAAAGCACACTAGGCCATGGAGTTGATTAAGTACTTGGAAAGTGGGTGTAATAACTTGGGTCATATCCCCAAACAATACAGGGTA